GGTCACCTCCTAATAAATGTCCTTACAGAAAATCTAACTGCTCATTTTAAATCAATACTTTGACTTTTAATACTTAACTACAACAAATATCACATACTTTAAGACTTTTACTACTTAACTACAACAAATATCACATACTTTAACACTTTTACTCAAGTAATATTCCTGAAGGAGACTTGAACTTTTACCAAAGTCTTTTTCTGATAAGATACTTGTACTTTTACTCAAGTATGACTTTGTGTGCTACTTTATACTACACTGATTATTAGTCAGAAACTGTTCACTGTAGGAGCTTCAGGTTTTTGTTTTTGTTTAGCTCTGATGAGGTCCATTGGGCCCACCCAAACAATAAATCTGTTTTGTATTGGTGTTGTGTGTCTGTGTGGGGGTCATATTTGCTCCTGTTATTGTGTAGTTTGATTTGTCCATTAAATCAGTCAAATGTAACTCGACCTGTGACGGATGTGAACTCATCACTTCCTCCACCTTCATGTGATGAGCTGAACGTTTACTGAAACACCAAATATTTGAAATAAATCCCGTCCAGCTGAGGTTGGGTTTGGGTCGGCGGTCGGACCGGAGCGGTTTTAGGATTCTCAGGGTTAAGAGTTCATCATGACGAAAACATTCAGTTTCTCATTAATGTTCTTCCAGATGTGTCGTTTTCTGTGCAGGAAGTCAGAATCTGAATAAAAACTGTGTGAGTGGAAGCTTAAAGGAGTGTTCTGAGGTCCGATCGGGTCGGGCTAAGAACAGAAATCAGTTTTATGACATTGTTTATGAAGAAGATAAAAGGTCCAAACGAGGCAGGCTGTAAATGGATCAGAACAATGAGTCATTATTGTTCCTGCAGCACAAACACGACACAGGCTCCASTTTAACAGGATTAAATCAGCTGAGGCTGTAAATCCACAGAACCCGGTCCCAGCAGGAGGGCGATCCGGACCTTCAGGACTCACCACAAACCGTCCAGAACCTGGACTCCTGGCGGGTTTGRGAGCTCAGGTATAATGAGGGGAGGGGTGCTGTTCCCAGGCTGCACCAGAACCCAGGGGCGTCCTCTCCCGGGCCTGATTGGGTCCAGATGTTGGGCCGTCGCTCTGGGAACGGAGCGCTGAGAGACGAGCGGAGCCGCAATAAATCCCAGGAACAGCTAACGAAGAAAACAAATAAACGAGCCGCAGCTAAAAATAATTTCATGAAGAATCTGATTCAGAACTTCATTATGTGTTGGAGACAGCCGGGTCTGTGTGGGTCCAGCAGAACCTCGTCCCGCTAACGAGGCGGGGATGGGTCTCTGTGGGGCAGAGCTGATGAATCAGTTGTCATCGTGTGTGATTGGCTGTTTTAAACAGAACCAAACATTCTGACTGTGTTTAGTCAGGCCCGGTCCAAAAGTCCAAACACACCTCTGCTGGGCCAATAACCTGTCCGGGTCTGAGAGTGGTCCGCTCGTCAGTCTTCACATCGTTCAGCGGGCCCGCTGGGATCCAGTTCACCATAACAGGCCTGCTGGGTCACAGCACGGTGACCCGGTTCTGAAGATCAGCTGGGTCCGGGTCACCGGGTTTGAATTCTCAGTTTTTATCAATTTGTTTCAGTTAATCAGACAAAAATGTTGGTTTTTAGTTTAGCAGGTCTGGTTCTGACAGGTTCTGACCCACTGCAGCCTGTGGACTTTCCAAACCAGTCCTAACCTGTCCTAACCTAACCTGTCCTAACCNGGAGGAGGGGGCGGAGCCAGCAGGGCGGGTCCAGCAGCAGACGGACAGAACGCAGGACGACACATCAGAACCTGTCCRCCTGACGCTCAGCTGACCCGACCCGATCTGAGGAAACTGCTGCTCATTTATTCAGAAAGAACTCTTCATCGTTCTGCTCCAACAGAACCAGCAGTCAGAACCTAACCGGGCCACAGGAAGTCGGGCCGAGCTTTCAGAACCTTCAGAACTTTCAGCTGTTTTTWCACAAATCACAGTTTGACTTGGTTTTCCTGCAGAACCATCAGAGTTCTGGTGTCAAACCAGAATCCATGAGACCGGTCCAGCTCCATCCTGGTTCTGACCCGGATCTGACCCAGTAACAAGTAAAATCAATGGTTCTGATTGGTCCAGTTGGTTCTGATCAAACTAAATAAGTCCAACACAGAAACTTATAGAATTTTTCTGTCTCAGTTTGGGTTCACGGTACCAGACCGGTACCAGAACCGACCCGTTTTCTCACTGTCTGACTTTCAGGAACTAAACCCAGACATGTTCAGACTTCAGAGGTTCTGGTTCTGACACAGTCACAGCCCGTCAGGTTCTGGTCTCCGGTTCTTACAAACGGAGGTCCAGAACTGATGGTATTGGGTTCTCGTGGGTCCGCCGGGTCGTCCTTCAGAACCTGTGGTTTGAAACACGAGCAGAGGCGGGTCGGTTCTGTTTGACGGGTCGGTTCTGTTTGACGGTTCAGAGAGCAGCTTGTTAGCAGGAGCCGGACTCGGGTTTCACAGAGTTCTGGTTCTGGTTCTGGTTGTGATCTGCAGACTTTTTATTGAAATCTGATCTTTTCCTAAAATAAAGTCTTCCTTCAGGTTCTTTCTGTGTTTTTACGGGTCAGAACCGGGCCCTGCAGGACCTGAGCTCCGCTCCGACATGTCGGGTCTTTGTGTTGCATTAAAGTCCTGTAGGATTGTCCGGCGCTGCTGCTTTAATCAGTCTGGAGGTTCTGACCCGGGTCGGTGCCGGACGACCTTTAACCCCTCGTTGATGGACCGGGTCAAACAGAACCTTCAGTTCAAATAATCCTGAAGAGTTTCGTTTGTTTCGTGTTTTCTGAAGAGTTTAAATGAAACATTTAAATTTAGATTTAAAATTTAAAACATGAAATCTGAAACAAAATTAAAAAATAAAAGCCTGACATGTAAAAC